AGCACTATCACTGCCGTGACGCCCTCCAGAAGCAGCCGACTGTTAGCCAGCGTCGACAGCCTGCAACAGCATGAGGAGGAAACGAGAGGGAGGGAGGGAGGGAGGGAGGGAGGGAGGGAGGGAGGAGGAGGAGGAGGAGGAGGAGGAGGAGGAGGAGGAGGAGAGCAGTACCGGTAACGGAGGTTGGTTCGGGGAACGTGGTCGGGGAGGAGCGGGTTGAGGGAGCTCATGCGCATGCGCATCCTCAACCAGTTGCGCTGGGTGTCCGTGTAGAGGGCGATGCCGCTCCTTTGATTGATGGCGTCGATGAGGACGCCGATGACGAGCTGGAGGAGGAAGAAGCAGGAGATGATGACCCACAGGTGGAAGAAGAGTATGCTGCTGGGCTGCTGCTGGGGGATCGGCTGCTGCCCCGGCTGAGTGACCGCGAGAGCGCTGAAAACAACATCGGACCACTGCTCGAAGGTGGAGACCTGCTGCGGTGTGAGAAGAAGAAAGGAACAAGAAATTGAATGGAGAGGAGGTGAAGGGAAGGGAGGGGAGAGAAGAGAAAGAGAAGCAAGGCGGGGTAAAGAGGAGAGGAGAGGAGAGGAGAGGAGAGGAGAGGAGAGGAGAGGAGAGGAGAGGAGAGGAGAGGAGAGGAGAGGAGAGGAGAGGAGAGGAGAGGAGAGGAGAGGAGAGGAGAGGAGAGGAGAGGAGAGAAGGAGAGGAGAGGAGAGGAGAGGAGAGGAGAGGAGAGGAGAGGAGGGGAAATGCAAGGAAATAGACAAGGAACAAGAGAAGAATAGAGCAAGACAAGTGAAGCAAGTTCGAGTATTACTTTGCTGAGGAGGAGCAAAGCTTCAACCCAAGGGTTGATAGAGCCGATCACCATCGCCTGCTTGCTTTGAATCTGTTGCATGAGAAGTCAGAACCTAACAAGAGGAGGAAGAGGAGGATGAAGAAGAGCAGAGGGTAGAGGAGAAGAATCAAGAACAGGCGGAGCAGGGGAGCAAGTGGGAGCTGGAGCTGGAGCTGGAGCTGGAGCTGGAGCTGGAGCAGGAGCTGGAGCTGGAGCTGGAGCAGGAGCTGGAGCTGGAGCAGGAGCAGGAGCAGGAGCAGGAGCAGGAGCTGGAGCTGGAGCTGGAGCAGGAGCTGGAGCAGGAGCAGGAGCAGGAGGTGTACAGAGAACGACGAGAAGGCTGATAGGAGGTATTTGCTGGCTCCGCAGTACCCCAACGAGAGCTCCTCTCCTCTCTTCGCTTTTCCCATCAATCTGCCCATCAAGTCTCAGTTCTCCTCCCCCTCTCACCCTCTTAACTCACTCGTCGATTTGATTGTCCGTCCATGTCCTCCTCTCCTGCCCCTGCTGCCCGTCCCCGTCGAAGAAGTAAGGATATACCTAGGGAAACATCTCCTGTCATGTTCACCAGCCACCTTCTCCTCCATCTTCCCTCCTCTTCCTCCTCCTCTCCTCCTTCTCTCCTCTCAACCTCATCCTCGTCCTCGTCTTTGTCCTTCTCTCATCCTCGTCATCCTCCTCTCCTCTCGTCCTCGTCCTCCTCCTTCTCTCGTCCTCCTTCTCTCGTCCTCATCCTCCTCCTTCTCTCGTCCTCGTCCTCTCGTCCTCATTCTCCTCCTCTCCTCTCGTCTCCCTCCTCCTCCTCCTCTCGTCCTCGTCCTCCTGTCATCGCCATAGACTCACTCTGATCTTGCCGTTCAACGTGAAAGCATCCTTCGCCTTCTGAGGGAGACACTCCCATCGCACCGGGCCCGCAAGAGAGAACACCCGCCGCTTGTCCTCCCCCTCCCCCTCCCTCTCCCCCTCCCCCTCCCCCTTCCGATCCCTCTTCACTAGTCTCGCCGGCTGCCTCCCATAGTCTTCAGCCTCTACCCACTTTGCCTCCTTCCTCCTGGGCTCCTTCACCATCCTGGCATCAGCGCTTCAACTACCTCCAACGGCATTACACCTGGTAGGAACTTCTCGAGCTGCCGATGGACAGTCCGAGGGCGAAGGTCAATGCTGCCTGAGCGAGCAGCAGTCAAGGAGGAGAGCAAGATTTCAGGGAATGAAGGCGTACAACGAGGACGGTTTGAAGGTGGGAAGAGTCAAACATGCTCTTGTCTCGCGTTCTCTTGGCTCCCTGTGCATCGAAACGATCTAACTGAGGACGTCGCGTTTCCTGGCTCTCCCACATCCTCCGGTCTCCTCCCCTTCCTTCCGCTCTTCTCCCCGCCCTTTCTCCTCCCTCTCCTCTCCGCTCCTCTTCTCCCCTCCCCTTTTCCCTCCCCTCCCCTCCCCTCCCCTCTCGTCTCATGTCTCGTCTCGTCTCGTCTCCCTCGTCCCTCCCTCCCTCCCTCCCTCTCGTCTCGTCTGTTCTCCTCCCTCCCTCCCTCCCTCCCTCTCGTCTGTTCTCCTCCCTCCCTCTCGTCTCGTCTGTTCTCCTCCCCTCCCCTCTCGTCTCGTCTGTTCTCCTCCCCTCCCCTCTCGTCTCGTCTGTTTTCCTCCCCTCCCCTCTCGTCTCGTCTGTTCTCCTCTCCTCTCTCACCTTCTCTTTCATCGTCTTCTCCCTCATCTCCATTTCCACTTCGTCGCCATTTCCTTTCCGCATCTACGTATACCTCATCCCCTAACATTCATCTTTTTTTTCATCACCCTCATACCTGCAACGGTGTCTAGAACACTGTCTAGAACCTGGTCTAGAACCTCCTGAGAACCTCGCACAACCTCGTGCCGCTGTGCGGCGGGTCACCATGTGATATGCCATGGACGCGGAACTTCGGAACGCTAGATCGTTGCCAGTTGTGTCTTGAACGACTGCCTCCAAGCAGCCATGACTGAGTGTTGTCGGTGTCCCGGAAGGCCCTCGTCCTCAGACGGTACGTCTACAGCGAACTCGGAATGGTCAAGGCACCTCCGCTGGATCGCACACAAAGGCGAGGAGTAGAGGTATGAAGTTTATTTGATAACAAAGGACAGACCAACCTTGGCAGTTGTTGACAATCCTTTTATAGTCGAGGGGAACCACCAGGGGTGGTGACGATCCTTTTATAGTCGAGGGGAACCACCAGGGGTGGTCACGTCAGGCTCCTCAGGCACGAGCGAGCATCCGTACTTGGCACACTCTGTCGCCCAACAGGGGTTGTACTCCAGAGGTCCAGTATCCGTTAAAGCTCTTGCTGCCCTCGTGGCTGTGAGACAAGACCATAGCTTCTCTTGCTGCCCACTCCTGCTCAATAAGATTCCTTCCTGCGGAGGCTTGAGCTCGCCTCCGCAGAGCTCTCATACCTACACCCTCCCTGCTCTAGCCATGCAAGTGCCATTCATGATCGTCGCCCAGCACTCGTCCATGTTCCCCTCATGCGTCTCCCATCCCGAGCCGACATCGCCACCCTCTAAGCCTGCCCAGCACACGCTGCCGTCCCTCCTCCCCCCATCAGCTGCCTCCTTGCCGAGCGCGACCATGCGGTCCCTGCAAGCCAGTCCTCCTGCTGCACACAGTAAATCCACACGCTGGTTACGCACACGCTGGTTACTCAGCAGGTTACTCAGCCAATTACTCAGCCAAGCCTCCAGGACATCGACGAGATCCACCAAGACTCGGAGGAGTTTACAAAGTCAATACTGGCATTTGCAACGTAGGGCTTGGACGACTCATGGTGACTGGAAGATAGTAGTTACCATCGCAGTGTTCACCACCGTCACTGATTCCTGGAACAACAACGACGGCGTTTAACAACTGTCAGACCTTGTGTTTGGATGATTTAAAACTCTCCAGTCCGCTTTTGTCGTGAGTTGAGGTCTTTATCTCGACTCACTGTACAATCCTGTGGTTGTGATTTGTGGGACGCGGACGACGCGAAGATAGTGTGTGATGTCTGCAACATGCGAAACCTTCTTTCTCGAATACTGCTCACTTCGAGTATTTGCATTCATTGCAAACTACCGTCCACGATTACTTTGTGAAGGAAGTCAGAGGTGTTGCTTTCTTTCAATGCCAGTGACCTGTCCGAACTGTGGTTACTCAGAGCGTTACTCCTCCGTACCCGTCCTCCCTTCATTTGACTCCGACCAATTGACGGACGGGCCTCACTGCCCCTGCGACTCAGCTGCGACTCAGCTGGTGACAGATGAAACTTCTCAGCAGGAAGCTATTGAGGCCAAAAGCTCACGTCACCCGTCACATGACTTGGTAGATCAATCAGTCAAAGAAAGACCGGTCAAAGAAGGACCGCATCTGATCACTTACTCCCCAGCTTGACCCTCCTGCTCCCTCCCCCGCAGTCCTTGCATCCCGATCGCTCCCGCCCGTGCTCGCATATGCTCCTGCCCCCGCATCCCTTGCATTGTGATCTGACCCGCCCGTGCTCGCATATGCTGCTGCCCCCGCACCCCTTGCATTGTGATCTGACCCGCCCGTGCTGGCATATGCTCCCGCCCCCACACTCCTTGCATACCGATCGCCGCCGCCCGTGCTCGCATATGCTCCTGCCCCCACACTCCTTGCACACCGATCGGACCCGCCCGTGCTCGCATATGCTGCTGCCCCCGCACCCCTTGCATTTGGATCGCTGGCGCCCGTGCTCGCATATGCTGCTGCCCCTGCATCCCTTGCACACCGATCGCTGCCGCCCGTGCTCGCATATGCTCCCGCCTCCGCAGTCCTTGCATTGTGATCTGACCCGCCCGTGCTCGCATATGCTGCCGCCCCCGCACTCCTTGCATCCCGATCGCCGCCGCCCGTGCTCGCATATGCTGCTGCCCCCGCATCCCTTGCATACCGATCGCCGCCGCCCGTGCTCGCATATGCTCCCGCCTCCGCAGTCCTTGCATACCGATCGGACCCGCCCGTGCTCGCATATGCTGCTGCCCCTGCATCCCTTGCATCCCGATCGCTGGCGCCCGTGCTCGCATATGCTGCTGCCCCTGCATCCCTTGCATTGTGATCGGACCCGCCCGTGCTCGCATATGCTGCTGCCCCCGCAGTCCTTGCATTGTGATCGCTGCCGCCCGTGCTCGCATATGCTGCCGCCCCTGCATCCCTTGCACACCGATCGCTGCCGCCCGTGCTCGCATACTTTCGCTCTCTTCTTCCTTCTCTTCTCTATGTCTGCATCGATGTCCCCTCTCTCCTCTCCTTCCTCTCTTGTCTTGTCTGATCCCTCCAGCCTCCTTCTCTTCCTCGACCTGTCGCTGCCTCCTGCCGTCATGGCTTTCCACCCGCACTCCAAGTCATCCCCCTCATACACCACACCTGCTCCGTCCAAGTCATCCCCCTCACGTTGCGCTTTCTGTGGTGGCTGGCGGATCGCTCGGCGAACAAGGAAACGGCAGCGCTGGATGGTCTCTCGGCCTCGCCCTTCGGCGGCGGCCACCGCGACATCGCTGGCATGGCCGCGCGGGGGACTTGTCCTGCGCGCCGTTAAGTGAAGGTATCAGTTAAGTTTGGGGGACAGCTGTCGGCAGGAATAGGTTTGGTTCTCGCTGTCTTTCTCTTCTCGCCGTTTGGCCTGTGCGACAGTGTCAGGGTCAAGCGCGGCCTCCTCGACTCTCCTGATTGTCCTCGTACTGATTTTTAACTTAACTTTGAGTAAAGTCTCACATACACCACGGTTGGCTCGGCACCCTCATCCCCCTCATACACCACGGTTGGCTCGGCACCCTCATCCCCCTCATACACCACGGTTGGCTCGGCACCCTGCAAAAAACCCTGGGCACCCTGCGGCACCCTGAGGGCCGCGACCACTAGAGGTCTTATGGAAGCCCTGAATTGCGTAGCGTAGGTACTAAAGTTTTACTTAAATTTGCTCTGAATTCAGACACTATTCAGGCTCTGAATAGTTTCCCAGCGGAGTGAGCTGGGAGCTTCACCTTGCAGGACGTCATGGGAGGCACCATCCAAGAAGCTCGAGTTGACCAAGGAGGGGAGGGGCAGGGGGTAGAAGAGAGGGGGTGGTGAGGTGAGGTGAGGTGAGGTGAGGTGAGGTGAGGTGAGGTGAGGTGAGGAAAGGACCGGACAGGACAGGACAGGACCGGACAGGACGGAACAGGACAGGACCGGACAGGACGGAACAGGACAGGACAGGACAGGAGAGGACAAGACAGGAGAGGAAAGGACAGGAGAGCAAAGGAGAGAAAGGGAAACAAGGGAGGGGCGAGCGGAGGACAAGAGGTGATGACCATGATGTTGGTGACGACGACAACGATGCAGAAGAAGAAGAAGAAGAAGATCATGATGATGATGATGATGATGACGATTACGACGACAACGAGGACGATGATGTATTCTACGACGGCAGATATTATCTGACATTCGTACCAGACAAGGAATTTTGAAGTGGTCGGGTTGTTTGGAAGTCGACAAGATCTGAAGCTTGAGGACTTGTTCTCCCTCGCTGGTGGAGATGGGATGAACGGAGATTGTGCAGATCAGAAGAGAAGGTCCATGTCCTTGTTGCTTCTTGTGTATGTCTGACATGATGTGAAGAAACTACGAGCAACCTGTCATTGTTCTCTGCAAACCGCCGGGCTGTCCGCCCTCCAAGATGGGTAGCTCAACCGTATGAAGAAGAAGCCAAGGAGATTGTGCAGATCAGAAGAGAAGGTCCATGTCCTTGTGGAAGGAAAAGCCGGACAAGACAAGGAGGAGAAGAACAAGAAGAGGAGGACCAGCTCCACTTCCAGCCCCAGCCCCAGCCCCAGCCCCAGCTAGCAACACTTCGCCCGGCACGGAGAACTCATCACCGTCCCGCCGGTCCAGCAGGACCTCGAGCAGACCAGGCTCGGACCATCGGACTGCACGACGCATGGGGCGGGCCCGGGGAGAAGATAAGGGCCCGCGTTGCGCAGGAAGCTGCTGCCCCTCCTCCCACACGATGCTCTCAATCTCCAAGTACCAGCCGACACCCTCCCTGCTCTAGCCATGCAAGTGCCGTTCATGATCGTCGCCCAGCACTCGTCCATGTTCCCCTCATGCGTCTCCCATCCCGAGCCGACATCGCCACCCTCTAAGCCTGCCCAGCACACGCTGCCGTCCCTCCTCCCCCCATCAGCTGCCTCCTTGCCGAGCGCGACCATGCGGTCCCTGCAAGCCAGTCATCCTGCTGCACAGCAACATCAGGTCCGCACCTGATCAGCTCCTCGCCTGTCTGTACCTGCTGCTCCCTCCCCCGCATCTCTTGCATCTCGATCGGACCCGCCCGTGCTCGCATATGCTGCCGCCTCCGCATCCCTTGCATCCCGATCGGACCCGCCCGTGCTGGCATATGCTCCCGCCCCCGCATCCCTTGCATTGTGATCGGACCCGCCCGTGCTCGCATATGCTGCTGCCCCCACACTCCTTGCACACCGATCGGACCCGCCCGTGCTCGCATATGCTGCTGCCCCCGCACCCCTTGCATTTCGATCGCTGCAGCCCGTGCTCGCATATGCTGCTGCCCCCGCAGTCCTTGCATTGCGTTCGGACCCGCCCGTGCTCGCATATGCTCCTGCCCCCACACTCCTTGCATCTTGATCGCTGCCGCCCGTGCTCGCATATGCTGCTGCCCCCGCATCCCTTGCATCCCGATCGGACCCGCCCGTGCTCGCATGTGCTCCTGCCCCCGCACTCCTTGCATTCCGATCGCCGCCGCCCGTGCTCGCATATGCTCCTGCCCCCGCAGTCCTTGCATCTCGATCGGACCCGCCCGTGCTCGCATATGCTCCTGCCCCCGCATCCCTTGCATTTCGATCGCTGCCGCCCGTGCTCGCATATGCTCCCGCCCCAGCATCCCTTGCATTGTGATCGGACCCGCCCGTGCTCGCATATGCTCCTGCCCCCGCACTCCTTGCATTGTGATCTCTGCCGCCCGTGCTCGCATATGCTCCCGCCCCCGCATCCCTTGCATTGTGATCGGACCCGCCCGTGCTCGCATATGCTGCCGCCCCCGCATCCCTTGCATTTTGATTGCTGCCGCCCGTGCTCGCATACTTTCGCTCTTTTCTTCACTCGCTTCTCTATGTCTGCATTGTCGTCGCCTCCCTCTCCTCCTTCCTCTCTCGTCTTGTCTGATCCCTCCAGCCTCCTCCTCTTGCTCGACCTGTCGCTGCCGTCTACCGTCATGGCTTTCCACCCGCACTCCAAGTCATCCCCCTCATACACCACGGTTGGCTGCACTGCAGTCGGCACTGCCCTGGGCCCACTGCCAGCGGCACTGCGGCAGCTTGGTGGGGCAGTTGGAGGTGCTCGTCCCGGCGGCCCGATGTGCTCAAGACCGAGTTTAATGCGCACGAAACAGAGGTTGAGAAGCACATGAGAGATAGACTGTATGCTAGGATGTGAAACCCAAGCATCCAGACATGAGACATCGGACGTGAGAAAGTCACACAAAGAAGAGATGTCAGCAGAGTTCCAAGTCAAGATACGATGAAACGTCCAATTTGCAGTTATGCTGAGTGGGCAATAACTGTTCAAGGATTGTCCATTCTGAAGAAGATTTTCATGCAGTGCTGTTAGATGTGCAGCACAGAGATAAAAGGAAGATGCCTGGCGAGCGGGTGGAATGAAGAGAGAAGGAGAATAAGATAAGAGAGAAGAAGCTTGCCCGCCGGCATTTGAAGACCAAAAGATAAACTTGAACCGTAAAGAACTTGTGACCAGAGATTGCTGCCGCGAGGTTGGAACAGGAACATCCGTTTCAAGGCATTTGAGGATGTGGTGCAGTTGTACCTTGTTCACCGATCCAGAAGTAGCTCCAGTTTTTCAAGCCAATTTCACATCCTAGCATACAGTCTACTCTCATGTGCCTCTCAACCTCTGTTTCGTGCGCAATAAACTCGGTCTTGAGCAAAAACTGTCTTGTTGCAGCTGAGGTCGATACGAGGTCTGCATTACTTTGGCATAGTTAAAGTCTAACAAACTTGTGTTCCGTCACCATCCCCGTATCAGCCAGTAGTTGAAGACCGTGATGTCCGTGTTGGTCCCGACGGGGCAAGTCCCCGCAAAGGTCGTGCAGCCGCAGTCAGCTTGTCGATCGTCCGGATGCAGTTGTTGTTGTAGTCTGAGACGAAGGCAGCCGTCTCGTCCCACAGTATGCTGACATCCACCGGCTTGTCGAATCTCGCCCCGATCCCGACCGCATCGACATACCCAGCAGCGTGGAAGCGTCCCCGCCACCGCGGATCTCCCCCATCCTGTAGTCCCTTCCTGGCAGATCGTCGGAGGGATGCAGGACTCGAGGGTTACATTCGAGACCGCGGGGGTCAGCTGAGACGAGGGCACAGATCGTACACCCCCTCCGCCGTCCCAGAGAAGTAGTCGTTGGCGGCGTTGGTGCTGCAAGTCACGTACCCCGTCCCGTTGTGGCACAGGTTCACTGAGCAGGCACTCGGTCGCCCTAACCCCCGCGCTGATCATCCCCGATGGGCATGCCAGGCAGTTATCGACGTACCTGTATTGCTTGGTATTGTGACAGAAACGCCTGTCATGACACCTGCGAGACCACCAGTGGTTGAAGTTCCAGTTCCCCCACCAGAGCAAGATATCAATTGAACCTTCGGATGTCCCCAATATGACGAACCGGCACCTCCTCCATTACCTCTCTTGCGTGTTGCACAGTCAATACTCAACCCACAGTCTTCACCATAAAACTTTCCACCAGGATCTCCAGTACCTGTACCACCCATGACTTGACCTCCACCTCCCGTGGAAGATGACCCATCAGCTCCCGTTCCACTCGACAAAGGAGTTCCACCACCAACACCACCCACCTGCTGCTCCACCTCCACCACCACCTGCTGTACTATCACCACCACCACCTGCTGTATCACCACTTTCTGCTCCACCACCACCACCTGCTCCACCACCACCAGCTGCTCCAACACCACCACCTGCTGTACCACCACCTGCTGCTCCACCACCACCAGCTGCTCCACCACCACCTGCTGTACCACCACTTGCTGCTCCACCACCACCTGCACCTGACTCTACCACCTGCACCTGCAGCTGCTGTTCCACCACCACCACCACCACCTGCTGCTCCACCACCTGCTGCTCCACCACCTGCTGCTTCACCACCTGCACCTGCTCCACCACCACCTGCTGCACCACTATTTGACCATCGACTCACTGCCCCTAGCTGGTGACAGATGAAGCTTCTCAGCAGAAGTAGATCCATCAGTCAAAGAAGGACCGGAGGACTGCTTCAGATATTTACATTAACCTTACTGACTTCATCTACACATACAGCTCGAGCAGCAGAATCACGCAAGGGTCACGGGGAACGGCGAGTTGACCAGGTCAAACCTCTGCCATAGTCGGCTGGACTCAATCGGTTGAGAAGAGGGAGAGGAGGATGAAGAGAGGGTACCTTGTGATACGCGACGATGTCTAGGAGAGTGAGGTCGTCGGGGAAGACGATTGTACCTGACACAGACAGTGAGCAAGGAGAAGAGGATAAGGGGAGGAGGGGAGAACACGAGGAGAAGGGGGACAGAGCAAGAGGAAGAACCGGGAAGGAGAGAGGAGGAGAGACGAGAACGAGGTGGGAGGAGGAGAACCAGGTGGGAGGGAGGTGGAGGAGAAGATTGTGGGAGGAGGAGGAGGAGGAGGAGGAGGAGGAGGAGGAGGAGGAGTTTTTCACCTTGCGGTTGCAAGCTTGCAAGCGACGTCCACTGGTCTATGATGACGCTGTTGTCGATCCAGAGCTGGTGGAACAGCAGTGAGGGGAGGAGCTGAGAAATCGCTCCTGTACCTTGATGCGATCGGCCGAAGACGTCAGGTTCCATCGCAACGTCCGAGGGTTCTCCGATCCGAACAGGCAGGAAGAGGCGTTTGATGATGAGATCGTTGAACAAGCTGAGATGAAACCACTCCAGGACACGCTGGCCAGTCCTTGTGCTGGGGGAGGGGAGACGTCAGGAGAGGAGGAGGAGGAGGAGCGGAGTGAGCTGGGAGCTTCACCTTGCAGGACGTCATGGGAGGCTCCATCCAAGAAGCTCGAGTTGACGAAAATGTTGCCTTCTGTGTCGTAGTATGTTGCATCCAGCCTGCCAGGCTACAGCAAGAGGTCAGTGGCTGTGGAGGAGGAGAGGGACTGGTCTTACTGCTCCCCACGATCCCAGGAAGCGCGATGTGACGGCATAGCTCCAAGGAGAGGGAGATAGGGAGTAGGATCCTTGGAGGGTGCCGTTCTGAGAGCAAGTCAGTCGAGAAGGAGCTGGAAGTTTAGAGAAATTTTACGTTTCCGTCAGCAGCGAGCAGCGCATGGACGGTGGGAAGTACTCCTTGCTTGGCAAGAGCGATGTCACTCTCAGAGAGAATGTAGGAGTTGTCAATCGGAGGCCAGAAGTCCCTCGTGACGCGCAGAGCAAACCGTCCGCGCTCCTGACGCAGCCGTCAGATCTCCCTCAGCTGCTCAGCAGCTGGGAAGGGACTCACGTTGGTAGAGCTGGTCTTCCTGTTGGAGAACGAGTCTCGGAGCTGAATCTCAAACGTGCTGACAGCTGGCAGCACTTGAGCGAGGGTCAAACCGCTGCCTGTCATCGTGCTCTTTGACGCGCAGAATGTGTTGGGCTTGACAAGCAGCACATAGGGCCCTCCCTGAAGGTTCATGAGGCCATGCCGAGCCATCACCTGCCAGGTTCGTCAAGCCGAAATGGAGGATGAACAATTCAAATTACTGTATAAGATTTCGCCTCGTTGGCAGTATAGTGCACTGAGTACAACCCCTGCGGTTCTTGGTAGAGCTTGACCTTGGCCTGGTAGACGGGCACGGCACCTTGGGAGGCGATGAGGTGAGACGAGATGAGAGAGTTTCTCACCTTGTCCTTCAAGAATGACTTTGAACTCTGGGGTGAAGTGATCGTTGATATTCTCATACGCATCTCTGCCGCACTCCCGTCACGAAGTCTCGCACTTTCCATCAGCCTCGTCACCTTGACAGAACGAGGAAGGAAGCCTCGACTCCAGCAGTTGCGATGGTGAGCTGAGCGCCGAACGCAAAACTGTGATGAACGTCACAAGATGTCGACTAACTTGCAAGCAGGTTACCTTCTCGATGCGCACGTAACAGCAGCCCGCACAAGCAGATCTCCGAGCGGGTTCGGGACGTCGATCCTATGATAGACTTGCTTGCCGGGAACCCTTTTCAGTAGGGTTGAATTCCTTCTGAGAGTGACGCCACAGCCCAGGTTGTTGTCCATGCACTGTGTGAAGTGTAAGAGACAAGAGATGGAGGTCGGAGACTTGAAATCACCTTGTACAAGATACTTAGATCATAGAATCCTCCTCTAATGCCGAATCCTGTTGACATGAATATCATTCATATGAGCTCTCGTCAAACCGTAAGCAGTGGGAAGAATCATGTCTCTCCACAGATTTCTCAGCTCTGTGTGGATACGTACCTATCGATCCTGTGGGATTCATGACGGCCAGGGAGCTCCACTGATCGATGATGATGCTGTTGTCAATCCACATCTTCACCCTCTCCGACGTCGTCGACCTGCCGCTGCCTCCCCCCAGCTGAAGTTCAAACCTCTGCTCTGCCGCCTCGTCGACGTTCAAGAACCCGGTCCATCTCATGGCAAAGGAGTTGGGAGTGGAACCGAGAGGAGCTGAGAAATCCAAGTCATTCCATGTGATTCAATGTGCGACAGAAAGCGGCATGAGAGCGGAGCATGAAAATGGAGAAGACTACAAGAAGCAGCAGAGGAGCAATGTTCTTAGACATCGATACCTGGTGACTGTATGTTTGGATTCGACGACCAGTCTACCGCAAACTCGTTCTCCATTCCTTTGGCCCATGTGGAGCTCCCGACAGGCTTGCCAATCGCGTTGAAATCCATCGAGTAGTACGTGGCAAACAGCCCGACGTCTCCGACGATAGAAGTCACAACACTGTACTGTCCCTTTCGAGTAGGCGTGTAGACAACATCGTACACGCCTTCCTCTGTCGATGGCGTGTACAACGACCTGACTAGTCTCGGACAGTTAGGGCACGCAAGGGGAGGGAAGCCTGGTATTGCCCATGGGCCGTAGGAGAGGTGGAAGGCCAAGGGTCCCTCGTCCACACATGGGACTTGCCCGTCGTCCCAGGCCGTGTCGTTGAGCACGAGGCAACTTCC